TCGTTCATCTTTCATCAAATCAGCGATACAATTTGTGGCGCGTAGGCCGCAATTACAAACAAGCAACAACAAAATTATCTCCCATTTGCGTGCCGCCCTAGTGACTGGAATGACTAACCGTTACTTCAAAGTCAGTAGCGGCCCAAATTGAGATCGCATGTCATAAATCAAACGTATGGTGGGTACCGCAAACACCAACAGCGAGTCGAACCCGTCAAAATCGTGGGGCATAATAAGTAGATGAGTGTGGAAGTAAATACATTCGTCTCGGTATTGTTCTCCAACATCATTGCTTCAAAAGCCGAAAATCAAAATGGTCAAGTGTCTGTAAATCACGTGAAAGGCTGGAAAACAGCATTCGTACAACCTCGACATGACTGGCTTAGAGGGCGACATCTGAGGCATCGCTTATGAGAATCCGATGGGTCACAAAGGAGTAGTACAAACATCACAAAAATTGCAGCCAGTTACGATATAAACAAACTCGTGAGTCAACTCAGATAGAAGACAAAGGTTGCGAGATTTTGACATTTCAATTGCTCTCATCATTCGCAAAACGCAATACATTTGGGTAATACATTAGCGTACGCATATGTGGAAGGAAATTATACGGGCAAATCAAAGAGTTGAGCAATCAGGATCAAGACAATCTGATAGACAGTTGCTTTTACGCACACAATACCGACCGGTTTGCCGCAATCAGTAATGCCTCATTGATTGCTAGCATTTTCGCGCTTCGATTGATAGGCCTTCGACGGATCCACGTGATAGCCAGTCATGACGAGGTGTTTCGGTTCCGGCTCTCCGGTCGATCCTTCCCTCCATGTTGTGCCATGGATTGCGTCAACCACTTTGGCTCAGCCACCCCCTGAGCCCGTGGGGAACAAAGCCTCCAAGAACGAGAGCCACACCGAAGATACACAAGAAGACAAATCCCACACGACCGATTTTGTGCATAAATAACTCCCCATATTACAAAAATGCCCGTTGGTTGGCGAAACTGTTAGAACCAGTTCGTGAAGTTCTGGCTATATATTGTTTAGACAACACGTCGCTACATACAGAGCGCATGTACTTGGTAGATGTGGACTCACTTTTCACGAACTTCACCTTGCGCAAAATTGATAATGAGTTATGCAGTTTCCTGTTGTGTCAAAAACTAGTTGTGTATGGGCCTTCCTCTTGATTACCTCAGTGACCTGATATTTTAACAAACACAGAGAATGTTCTGTTTGAATTTGAAGAATCCGTCTACAGGCAGGTCGATGGAGTTGCAGTAGGAAGCCCTCTAGTCCCGGATCTGGCGGACATAATGTTGGAACTGGTAGAGAGGAAGATCGCTAAAATCATTGGTGAAGCTAAGCTGTATAAGCGCTACGTGGATGACATCTTAATCTTCATCAGCGAGGAGCATTTTAACCCGATTGTAACCCAGGTGAATTCGCTTCTCCGTGTCGTATGAGAGGGAACAGCAAGATAACCTGCCGTTTTTAGACATTGTCATCACCCAACGCACCGTCCACCGTAAAGGAACCTGGAGTGGGTAATACATGCGTTACACCGGCTTCTAACAACTTGGAAAAGCTGGAAAAAGAAATTGTAAAACGGGTGCAAGGAAATGCCTCTTTCCAGTATGTTAGCTTCTCGACAAGAAAACGTCTCGGTTGCACTCCTTCAACATTAGATGTTGTACTATCTAAATATGGATACTCGTCAAGTGTGCAAGCTAAGGCTCTTATAGTTAAGAGTGATTACTGTGTCATTACCTACTCTGTAAATACTAAAAGGCCTCCGGAGAAGCGCCGACATGTGAGGAATCTTGGTCTCAATGACCTATATCGGCAACGGGTCAGGGTATTGCAGATCAATTGGGTTCCTGTAGTGGAGCAGGCCACATTAGAACAAAGATAGAGCTTAGTTAAGAGCGGGCTTGTTTAGTTACTAGACTAGTTTGCCCTGTTGCGCCCCAGGAGACACTGCAATATGCCTAGATGGTGACGCCGCAGAATTGATCGTGCGATAAAGCGCAATGTTTCTTGGAAGAAGTCTCAAGATTCAGGAGGATTTACGCGTTGGTTGCAGTCCAAGAAATGTCGCAATACAGCAGTCAAGATGCAGCGACAAACGAATCATTGTTATGAGGTCAGACTGGCACAAAATGTAAAAGTAGAATCGAAGATGTATAATAATTATGCTCAGTCAATGGCTTTATCACGGGTAAAAAAGCCAAGTCTTCTTTAAGGCAGGAAGTTGGTAATTTGCTGGCGAATGACGGTAGTCACGCCACAGAGGATGTAGCCAAAGCAGTGCTTCTGCACGTTTTTCAAAACGTGCATCGTACAGACGACGGGTTTACTATACCCTCACGTTCATTTTTGTCAAATAGTAGTATAATGCTAGATACTCAGTCTACTGCAACGGAGGTCTTCGGGGTACTAACTGGTTTAGACCCACATAAGTCGGCTGAACGTGACAATGTGCATCCTGCCATTGTCAAACCGCTGGCCGACACTCCAATACCTGTCTTGGAGATGTTCAACAGGTCACTATTTGAGGGTAGGCTACCACAGGATTGGAAAGAGGCAACTGTTGTAACCATACATAAAGGAGGTTCTAAAATTGTACTCGTTAAACAACAGGCCGGTAAGTCCAATCAGCGTCTTACTCAAATGCTTGAAAAAGCTTATTCAAAAACGAATCCGTGAGCACTTGGTTGATCACAACTTAATTGGAGTCGAGCAGTATGGTTTTATTTTTAAAAGATCATGCTTTACCAATCTTTTGTGTTCCTTAGATGAAATAACTAGCTGTTTTAATGATGGAATCTCAGTCGAAATATGTTACCTCGACTTTAGCAATGTCTTCGACTCGGTTAACCACCGATTCTTGCTAAAGTAAAATGATTTGGGTTGCATCCTCAACTCTTGACTTGGATTGCAGTTTCTTTGTGGTAGTATCTTATGCGTTAGGGTCAGAGAAGCCAGATCAAGCATCGGCACTGCTCACAGCGGTGTTCCCCAAGGTTCTGTTTTAGGACCACCATTGTTTCCCATGTTTGACAACGAATTGGCTCCTCTTCTCCATTACTCTTGTTGTATTTTTGCTAATAATCTGAAGATCGTCAGCAGGGGTAATCGAGACATGTCTAAGGACATTTGCACTGTAGCGACTGGTCGGTTAAATGGGATTCGCCTTTGAACGCCAGCAAAAAACAGTTACTGACTTCTCGAAATGAAGGGATTACGGTGCTAACATCTATTGGGCCTCTAGATCTGCGACGTGCAGATGAAGCACGGGACTTAAGCATCATTGCGGCGAACGACTTAAAGTCTTCAGCGTAATGTAAACATGCTGCCTATGAAGCGTGCAATGAGCTATTTGATCTCAAAAGATCTTTATGAAGCACTAGAGCTGAGGTTTTTCTTCCCTTATACAAAGCGATGGTAAGGCCTCATTTAGAATACTGTGTACAGGCTTGGGCATCATACATTGCCTGTACAGAAAAGGTACAAAAGCTGTTGACTAGGATGATTGAGGGTCTAGGTGACAAGCCATACGCTGAACACCTAAGGAGCTTAGGTCTGTATTCAGTGGAACGGCGCAGACTAAGAGGGGATCTAATAGAGACCTTTAAAATCACGAAAGGTTTTAGCGGTATCCAGAATTGTTTGAGCTAGCTGGGTTAGATCACCTTAACTGAAGCTCAAGCATCAGAGATCTAGGTTGGATATCATGGCGAAATTCTTTGTGAATCGTGTAGTCAATAGCTGGAATAAGCTATCTGCAGTGTTAATACACTGCAGCACTGTAGAGGCCTTTAAACGAGCCCTAGACAAGTGTTGATCTCAACGTTTCCCAGAATTATTGCAATTTTATTGCATCATGTCGCTGTAGCCTCGTACTGCATAACAGTACAGAGAACGATTTTTTTGCTCTAATCTTTTGCAGAAGCCGCAGGAATTAATCAGACGTCCAAGTACCGGGGGCTCTGGTTCGCTTATCGATGCAAGAAAGAGGATGCTTGTTAGGCGGAAGCCTGTATCGTCCTGGAACCTGACCTGACCTGAAACAAACACGCTGTCTTCAGTACCCTTTTCTACGGAGCTAAGCGTAGTTGCAGTCCAGAGATGCTGTAGCGAAAAGGAGTTCGTAGATGGGACTCATTTGTCAAACGGGTATCCGGAGAAATTTATACAGTTCCACAGTAGATCCACCAAAAGGAAAAACTACCAGTACAAACGGTGGAGAAAAAAGGCTGTTTGTTTATTTTACCGTTCAAAGGGGACAGTTTCACGTGAATTTGGTTACAAACTTAGGTTTGCTGTAAAGCGCAGCTGCACGACCGCGTGTATACGAACCATTCACAACACATATAGATGGTGGAGCTCAACCACCGTCCAGACAGTACATCAGTTGGTTTGGACCTTCATCTCATTTATCAGATCCATTGCAGCTGCGTGAACGTCCTTATAGGTAGGACCGACAGGCGACTGGCTAAAAGAGTAGCTGAGCACCTCCCAAAGTACTTGAGGCAATCCGTGGTACAGTATGGAGGGATGGATCAAATGAAGTGCCGGAACCCCATCTCGTCTATTACGAAGCAACTTATGATGACTGGACATCACGTGGATCCATCGAAGGCCTTCAAAGTGGTATTTAGCAACCGAAAATGTCGGCATTACCGATTGCGGTAAACCGGCCGCTAGTGTGCGCGCAAAAACAGCTGAAGCAGTTTATCAGACTGCTCTGGTTTTGATCGCCCAGCTTTAAATTCTCCGTGTATTTTCGTCCCGCTTGTGTATACGTTGATTTATGACCCAAACATATTGCGTATGCGGCAGAGGAGAGCAATCGAAATGTCAACATATCGCGACTGTTGTTTTCTGCCTGCGTTGATCAAGTAGAGGAAGGGGACAGTGTTTCAAAATCGTGAGTAGCAGATGTGCACATACATATGCTGCTAGCTATCATATATGTCTAACCGAACTGTATAATCCCACCTGGAGTCTTCCTCGTCGATGATCTGATAACGTCTCGTACGGCAACAGTATGTCGTCGATCCCTGTTGGGATGTGGGGCATCGACTCCGCCCACGAAACTAGCGCACTGCTTCGTAATGCGAGAACACAATGTCCACATTCGAAATCGAGACAGCAATTCTGTAAACAAACGAAAAGCAGTCAGCAATGGCAAATGAATTTAGCTTGAGGGTGGGACGGTGCGCTTACCCAAGTAAGCCATGAACCAATTTTCGATGCACGCATCGCTGATCCATTCCTTGATACGTAGACGTTCCGGACCCAATGCCAACAAAGCTGTGCATACGGTCTGAACATGACCGTACTCTACCTAGATGGCAAAAATATGTGGTAAGACTAAAGCTAGAAACGTTGTTGACCCAATGCACCACTGGCAGTATCCAGGTTGGAGAAATACGAACGTACCAGCTCGTAAAACCATTGCACAATAAGCGGAGTAGCATCTGGCAATTCTACGGAGGTCTGTCCGATCGGCGTTGACTGCTGCTGCTGTTGCTGCTGCTAGTGATGTATTAAACGGAGCCAATAAACGAAATTCTTGATCCAGACTGCGCCGCACGTCATTCTGAGCTTCTATTCTACAGTAGCAAGCATAAAAGAGAAAAAAATTAGTTGAGGTCTGTGCCTCTGAGTGCAATACGAGGGGCAGTGGTGAGGCGGAGGACAATACAAATCTGACCACTTGCTAACCGATAGGAAGGTATGAAGCCGAGCACACGACTCCGTTGCCGTACAAGCGCAAAGAGGCTCGTACGGCCAAGTGTTAGCCTGCTAAGGACCGTCTCTTACTTTCATCGGAACGCCACACCATCTTAACTGTTATCGTACAATAACAGGTAACTTGATGCAGGCTTAAACCTTCAACGTGAATAGTTAGAGGTAACGCAATCAATGTGATAGTTGTGTAGTGAAGTCAGAATAAATGGAAAGATCCGTCTGCCAACGCACAGCCTAATTTGGTTAAGCCAAATTCTACGTAGGCTTAATGGCGAACTAAATCGGTGTGTGCTGCTTACCAAAGCAAAACCTGGTTGCGGAAAGCTCCCGCAAAGTCTACTGGTAGCATGTCATTACTAATGTATGCAAAATGTTGTCGAGAGACTGGTGCATAACGATGTATGCAGTATTCCTGGAAGTGATATTCGAGACTCACTCATGAATTCGGCGCCGTCATTTACCTGTTAGACTCCAATTCAATGATAAATGCATCCTCTCGTTTCACCATTATACATTAAATGAGAAACACCTCAGCTATTGTGCAGCAACATAAATAGATCAGATATATAAAAAACGAGACTACAAGATAAAAACCAAAAAACAAGCAATGAAATGCTTAACAAATTATAATGCTTAAAGATTGAGATTGTGACTGGACGGAGAAGACAAGCTGGATGGGGAGGGACAAAGAGACTCGCATCACATACCCCAGTGAGGTCAATTCTTCGCCGTGTCAAACGTGTTCATCGTTCTTCGGACAACCAACCAGTGAATCGATACGGTCCAACCGAAGTCAAGTCCTAAGTGACGGCCGGCCACCTTTGGTTCGTCTGAACTAACTGTCCTCCTGTTTTACATGCACAAGGACCTATGTACCATTTCGCAGAATACGCTTGGAACCGACTGGGATCTCATGATTTCAGAAGGTTTTGAATACAAATCGGTTTTTGTAGGTTATTATTATATCATCAATCGATTCGGCTTCGGGAAGCCTTCTTATTATTACTCTCTGCCTTTTGGATCTATCATCCGCGGATCACCATCAAACCGAGTCATCCGCGGTTGAACCCACGCGCACGATTCATCTTCTTCGTGTCCTACAAGAAATCTTGTGGTCTGATTCGGAAGACCATTCTGAATGTTGTCTAAAAATCTCAGTAACATTCTAGCTAGCTGCTGAACAATGCGATAATCGCTAACGTGGTTCTTTATCGCCACAGCCACCGTCGCTATCGGACAGCACTTTCTAAGCCACTTAGTTGTGCCTACTTTCTACTCCGGTTCGTTGTGACTGCCTGCCGCCCATCCACTTACTGGCCAGATCAATAACACGCTTTGCTCTGTCAACCCAGAGTTATTGAGTTCAATAGTGCACTGGATCGTATCGTATACTCCAAATGAGTAGGACCAACCGTTTTGTCTGGGACCGGTTGATCTTTCAAGCAGTGCGATTACTAGGCGCTGTGCGCTGCCACCCACGAACGGGATGGAGTCAATGCTCCAGACATACAGGAAACGGAATGGATCGTCAGTCAGCCAAATAAGTGACCCAGTTATGTTTTTGAAGTGCTAACAAGAAAATCTCATGACAAAGGAAAATTAGACTCAGTGTCGGCCAGATTATATTCAGATGGATATGACAAATGATGTGATAGCAGTCCAATCATTTTCATAATTTAAGAGCTAGATATGTTGAGCACAGCTGCCTCCGTTGGTGTGTTCCGGAGTTTAGAGTGAAACAGCTAGACGACGGATAGTAACAGGCATGGTATCGGGTATATAGTATGTTTCGAATACTGAAAATAGCGAACAAGAAGATATAGATCCGTGTCGCCTAATCAACATATTATCGACCACGCACACGGAATAACACATCATGGTGAATGCTGAATTCAAATATGCACTGATTAGAACTGATCGAAAAGAGAAATCCAGAAAGAGAAATATTTTAACAAATTGTGCTATCAGGAAGTCTGAACAGCTACCACTGAAAACCGATGTCCGCATTGAAGTTTGCCCTCATAATGTTTATCTTGGTGCCACTAATGCATGGAAGCACATCATGCTGCGGAAGAAATTCCCTTTGCAACCCGGTTAGAAGAGATTATAGTCTTGTGGATACGCTCAAAGCTGCCACGCAAGCTAGCAAGTTAAACACCGAACCATTCACGTCAAGTATAAACAACAAACGAGTTAATAGTGCGATCCCAGAACTCAAACTTATCGAACCGTTGGTAAAAAAAGAAACGAGTCCATTATGGAGAAATGTTGGACCAAGAGAAGTCCTAGCTTTAAATATAACTACTGTTTACAGAGTAGATGAGATTCTGTGGACACTTAGAGATAACACAACTTTAAATGGGCGCCTGGTCTTTGGACTCTAACGGTAGCCTGAGGATCACCCCACTCCACTGCTGATCAGAATCATTAAATCAATGTACTCCCAGTGACACACCTTGAGACGACTCATACTATTTACATCACAAAATACAGCCCAATAAAACCTATGTCTGACGGAACATACAGTAACACCTGCTGCCCCACGTAGCTTTATCGGCCACCAACATGTGCAACCACATCAGATTTTGGCGACGGCTGGAACCTACCGGCGCCACCGCTATTGCCCAGTCTTGCTAGCCCAGTGAGGCGTCTCCTTTTCAAGTAGCTTCTATCATTAGTAGTACTATGTCAGTCCTACTACAGTCTCAGTACGCTGAGGTTTCTATCACCACAACCACATCCACTATGGCTAACGATGTATGCAGTAATAAGATCACACCACTACTTCTTAATAAAGTCCTAAATCAGTCACACGAGGAAAAAGCTGTCAAATTGCTTCTTATCAATGCTCGCTCTCTAAATAATGAGATACATACTGCGCCATCTGAATATTCTTTCGACTCCTGGTTTAGTACTCATCACTGAAACTTGGCATGACCCCCACACTCCAGATGAGTTCTACCAGATAGTGGGTTATTTATCATTTATGAACAGCCGATACGTTGGTAAGGGGGCGCATGAGCTATTTATACTCGGGACCAGCTATGCACTCAAGTAATAATGGACCCGCAACTCAGTATCATAAATAAATCCGTGTGCGTCCCCGCAAAAATGATTTGTAATCTACTTTTGGTTGGATGCACTTACAATTCACCTCGTTAAGATGTCTTGCTTTCAGAGCACCACACTTCTGCTTTTGAGTATGCTTCTGAGTTGTCCTTCAGTCTATTTTAATTAACCAGAGATTTCACGGATAGAGTATACATCACTACCAAGGTTGTCGAGGTTCGTTTGCGAAGTTCTGGCCCAAGAATGAACACAAGTGGTCCATAAACATACCAGGGAAAACTACATTCTAGATCTCATTTTTGTCCGAGATACGCAAACTACACGAGTCAACGTATTATCACGCTTCCAATGTAGTGATCCCAGCGTCGCGTAGCTCAGCTTCAGGGCACGCGATGCGGCCCAATACTGTAACACAAGACTACTAGCAGAAACCTGTAGAAAATTTATTAATGTAAACTGGAAAGGATGTCTATACTGCTGCGAAAAAGGAACTAGGAGCTTTGATTTCTCATCAGAGATCCAGATGTCGCAGCAGACGAAGCTTACACAAATGTCTAATACCGTCTGCATTCCTTGCTCTATTCATACTGAGATCCGATTTTAAACTACGCGCGAAGTATGCCTTCTGCGTATGCTGAAAAGATTACACTCAACAATAAGACAGATTCTCGACTTGTTCTTGTTTTTCAGACAGGATAGGTTCTTTAACCAGTTGCGGACAATTCGTGTTACAAGGCTACTCGCAGAGGAATAGCGAGCATTGGCACATGGCAACAAATTTGAAGCCTTGTTCAAGGTACCGAATACCATAAACAACAGTCAAGTGAAATCGGTATCATGCATCTTACTAACCGACATATCCATGACCAGGAGGGATTCCATCAAGATAAAGAACGTAATGAATGGCCAGTAGTTTACTACCTCAAGCAACACAAGCATAGTGCCACTGCTGATATTCCCAAACTGAGCACAGTCCAATTCGGTTACGGCGTCATTCGAGCCCACAATCATTAACTACAATGTTCGGCTTCTACAACTGGACCTAGTGGTCTACCAACCACCCGAATAAAGTTTCGTGGCCCGGATATACCACTTGTAACTCAAAATATGTTTATTTTATGTTATGGGGACCCAACGTTCCCATAATGATCATAAGCTTAACCACGGAAGGTAATGAGACTCGATTCAGACAAGTACACATGTTTCGATCAGCCTTCCAACTGGTGAGACATTCACGTTTCGATTGGTCTTTGTACCTCAGAAAACATTATTGTTTCCGGACAACCTCCCTTCAATCAAAAAAACATTCAGCCTTTGTTACCTAAGAAACATTCAATTTTCCAGTCCAGCCTCCGCATCTACCAACATTCACTTTTCAACATGTTTCGTTGGCATATTTGCATAGTACCAATCCAGTTGCTTCTAGTGTTTGCTTAAGCAAATCCATCGAGGTATAAAAGAAACGCTGGATTGCGCTGTAATTGCCTTGAGTCTGGCCGGTAAAAGTGTTTACGCGAAAGGCCTGTCTTTTCGTCTTGTTCTATTGGGTTTGGGTAGCTGCTTGTGAAAATGCGTTCGGTTTAGGAGCCCGTTCAACTTCCGCATAGTAACTGTGTTGCGCCCAAGTCTCACGGGTCGTACAACTTCGAAGTTTGTTGGTTACTTTGTCGTGCATGAAATAGTTCCAAACTACATTCGTTAGGCCGACAAGAAGAGTTGATAACAGATCGTTAGAGCGTGGTGTAACCAAGAGGCAGTTACAACACCGTATCTATGAAATCATGGATGTCCC